AGGCGACTCCCGGCCCCCTGAACCTTCGCCTCCCTCCCACCCGGGCTAACGCGGCCGCCTCCGGTTAGGGGAGGGCCGGCACCGTCCACTCTCTGGACGGAAGCATGCGCCCTGGGGGCCGGGCACCCCCTTCTCGTGGAAAGGCAGCCAGTAAAATGATGATCCTCTATTTAGGTGTGAAGAGGAAGCATGACCCTCCAGTGGACGGCGGTTGCAACCTTTCTTTATGCTGAAATAGGACTCATTTTGCTCTTCTGTCTACCTTTCATTCCTCCCCAGAGGTAGGGAACCTCTCCCTTGTTACAATAATAAATACGTGTGTAGCCCCCCCGTAGGCTGTTTAGTGTGATACGGGAACATTTTTTTTCTTAAGATTTAAAAGTTTCGAGTGCTGATTGTATAAAAGGTGTACTTCAAAATAAACTCTAAAGCAGTGGTTCTCGACCTTCCTAATGCCGCGACCCTTTAATACAGTTCCTCATGTTGTGGTGACCCCCAATTTCATTGTTACAAATTGAACATAATTAAAGCATAGTGATTAATCACAAAAACAATATGTAATTATATATGTGTTTTCCGATGGTCTTAGGCGAACCCTGTGAAGGGGTCGCGACCCACAGGTTGAGAGTAAAGGAACAAAATTATAAATATAGAATGGCAATATTAAAACATCACTAGATGAAACTTTTTGTTAAACATAACGAATGAATTAACTTTCCCACCTCCCTTCTAAAAGGAGAGGGGCAAGTCCTTTGGTTTCTGTTGATTACAGATATAATAAAGGTCATACTTTTGCCACCTGTCTTGTCAGCAGGTTCCACTTTGTTTTATCGCCCTGAATTGGAAGAGTGGACTGAATGAAGGCAGATGCGTAAAAGGTGACTCACATGGGTGCAAAGTGTCTGTCTCACTGGGGCAGTCAAATGACAATGCAGAAACGACAGCCGATACGTGATGCTTAGTTTTGGCCCATGTAACCAATAAATAGTTTCCGTAATGTTTAATTGTAATTTCACTACTTTTCCCCACACACAGAATTGATGAATGTATGTTGAAAGTGCTGGTTATGCCCTAGCCGGTTTGGGTCAGTGGATAGAGCATCGGCCTGCGGACTGAAGGGTCCCAGGTTCGATTCCGGTCAAGAGCATGTACCTTAGTTGCGGGCACTTACCCAGTAGGGCGTGTGCAGGAGGCAGCTGATCGATGTTTCTCTCTCATTGATGTTTCTAACTCTCTCCCTCTCCCTTCCTCTCTGTAAAAAATCAATAAAATATATATTTTTTTAAAAAGTGCTGGTTATGAAAAGTATCTGAGCCATACGTTAGCATTAGTTCCTTAGGAAAGGACCTTCGGAGGCCTTTACGCACTGACTATTGTAAATGAAGCATTGCCTCCCTTTACCTGTGGTAATCCATCTGTTGGGAGTTCAGTTTTAGATCCAGAAACTTGCTAGCATGAATGGTGAAATACACTTGTAATAAAAATGTTACAACCCTTTGTTCGTACTCATGGCATAAAAGAAAATATTACATAAATGAAATCCTAGAGATGACCCGCTGGAGTTTTTAGTAAGATCCCGTGACCGGGAGAGACGTAAGCAAGTTTTTACCTTGGCTCAGGGTTCAGGTAGTCTTTCACAACCCTTAACTTGTTTCTTACCTACCTGGCTTTCTACTCACTTCAGTTTTAGCCAGTGATACCATCACTTTTTTCTTTCTTACTAAAGAAAAGAGATTGAATCATACTGTAGGAAAAGGCCTTAGGGATAATTGTATCCAAACCAGTTATCTGTAAGGAAGGTGGTCTAGCTGATCCATGGAAGATTCCAGACAAAAATCTAGCTTTCAGTCTAGTGCTCTTTCTACTCCATCCTACCTACCTGTCATCAGCTTGATAAGGTTTCTTTCTTTCTGTTTTTAATAAAGTTCTGTTGATTTCAGAGAGGAAAGGAGAGAGAGAGAGAGAGAGAGAAACATCAATGATGAAAGAGAATCATTGATCGGCTGCCTCCTGCATGCCCTGCCTAGAGGATCCAGCCTGCAACCCAGGCATGTGCCCTGGTGGGAATGGAACTGTGACCTTCTGGGTCATAGGTCGATGCTCAACCACTGAGCCATGCAGGCCGGGCTTGATTTGGTTTCTAATCCTCAATAACACCCTGTTGAGCTTTTTTTGCTAATACTAGCAAGGACTTGCAAAAAACTTTTTTTGTCAGTTTATCTTTTCTCCATCAAAATGACCATAAATTATGGATCTTTTTCTTCCAAGTATAATTTTTTTCCCATCCTGATCAAGTAGCTATTTGATAGATGTGTGTATATATGCACACATTACATAAATATACCCTCTTATACATGAGAAAATATGGTATATTAGTGCACATGTTTATAATATGTCCTTATTGTGTGTATCTCCATCTTTTTATCTTTCATATGTGTATCACCATAATCTCCTTTTAAAGATTTTTATTGCGGTTTAGAGAGGTAGAGAGAGAGAGAGAGAGAGAAACAGCAATGTGAGAGTGACATATCATTGGCTGCCTCCTGTATGTGCCTTTACCAGGAATCAAACCGGCAACCGCTTGGTGCATGGGACGATGCCCAACCAACTGAGCCATACTGGCCAGGGCTCACCATAATCTTCAAAGGCTTCAGTCTTTATTTCATTTGGCTCTCTACTCTTTTCTCACATAACCCACTAGTTAGACATATACTCAAAGGTCAGACTGCTTGGGTTTCTATCCCAACTCTGCAAGTTACTCCATGATCTTGGGCAAGTGATTTACCATCCCTAGTCAGTTTCCCCATTTGTAAAACGGAGGTAATACTGGTATCCACCTTATATAGTGGTTGTGGTGATAAAATTAGCTAAGATACGTAAAAATGCTTAGAACCATAGTATAGCAAGGACTCAATATATGGTACCTATTATTAACTGTTCCTTGAATTCGGTGTTAATATAAACTGCTAGTTGTTCCCTGTAGGGGTGTTTTTTGTATTTCCTTTTAACACTGGCCCTTGAAATGTGAATTTACATTTGGACCGTGATCAAGGTATTGCCACTTTATATTTTCTAAAAATAAAGTTTTTATCATGTAAAATTTAAATAGTCCTTGGAATTGAAAGCACAGAGACAAAAAAAACACACACAGCAAAAAACACTTTAACTTATATCAGTCTTCCTCTCCCCACCAACTTCAAGTTATTACTTAGAGTTGTTTTCAAAACTCATTGATTAACAATTTGTCATAATCGTAAAGTAAAACTTTTTAAAAGTTGTGTTTTAAGTTTA